AGAGGATATGCAAATTTTCAATTGTACATCACACAAAAGAAAAATCTAGATAATAGAAGATAGAGAAACTAACTTGCTCCAGGCCTTCAACTAAATGGCACTCGACGTGGTGGTTCATCAAACTCATCTATAATTGCATCTGTTGATATTCCAACAGCAATCTCCTTTTCAATATAAATTAGCAAGCAATCCCTTAGAAATCCATCTTCCATTTTATTCCGAAGCCTTGTCTTCACAAGTTTCATGGCAGAAAATGCACGTTCTGTCGTTGCCGTTGAAACCGGTAAAGTAAGAACAAGCCGAATGAGTCTGTACATTAAGAAGTAGTTGGAATTTTTAGCAATGAATAAATCAACCAATACAGGAACAGAGAACATTAGATACCTGTCAATCAAGTAATATTCATCTGATTTTCCACTAGATGCAAGTCGTTGACAAAGTTCTGATATAGTTGTCAAATTCTGAAACTTTGGGCTTGTGGGTACAACATTCTCATAATGTCGTAACTGACATCTTAGATTATTCATTTCTTGTTCTTTAAAATCAGCAGGATAGAACTTTGAAGCCAGAGAACATATATTATCTATGTTAAATGAACGGAATGAATCTTTTGGGTCCAAGGAAGTACAGAGGATGAGAAGCTCTGTTGCTTGTTTGTTGAATCTACAATTCAGCTCTTGTGCTTGCTGATCAACAGCAACCATGAAAATGTCACAGTGATAATGGTGCTCAACTGTAGTCTCATCCTCCGCACGAGAATTAATGAAATGCACATATAACTCACTGAAATGTGGTGTTTGAACTCCGTGTTTGGCACAGAATGAAAGCACGTCAGCTTTAAGCTTGTTCCAACCATTATCTCTTAGCTCCTGGATCAACATTTTGGTAGTCTTAAACATCATCCATGGCATTCACAATATCTTGAGACTTTTGTTGCAACTTTTTGCATAGCATGTCCGTGATTCCCATAAGTTCTTTCATGACATGCAAAATAAATATGAAGTCAAAAGACATCATCAACTTAACAGCACCAGAAGCCTTTGCTCGTGTGGAAGGTGAAGTACCAGATCCTTTAGAAGTTGCAATGCTTTTAAGTACCAAAAATGTTGGTTTGTACAATTTCACAAGGCTGCAAACAGAAGCATAGTGTGAACTCCACCTAGTATCACAAGGCCGTTGTAAAGTTCCGACTTGATTAGCCCCACTTCCAGTTTCAAGCTCACCAAGCTCAATCAAATGCTCCATTTCAGCAACTTGATTTGCTTGCAACTCATCATGTCTCTTACTAGAAGACACAACCGTATTGATAACAAGAGCAAGATGATCAAAAAAGTTGTGAACATCGGCTACTTCTTTTGATGCAGCAACAAGAGCTAGCTGCAACTGATGAGCAAAACAATGGATATAATATGCATAAGGACACTCCTCCATGAACTTTGCTTGTAGTCCATTCCACTCTCCACGCATGTTACTAGCACCATCGTATCCTTGGCCGCGAATATTGTTCACATCTAACTGATGTTGAACCAAAACAGAAGATATCTCTTCTTTTAGAGTAGCCGAAGATGTATCAGCAACATGAACAATATCAAGAAAACGCTCACGAGTGAAACCAGGTTTATCAACAAAACGAATAACTACTGCCATTTGCTCTCTTTTGGATTCATCTCTTGACTCATCAACAAGCAAGCAGAACTTAGCATCTCCTATTTTTTTACGGATTTCACTTTGCACCTTAGAAGCAATGATACCTAGAAGTTCTTTTTGAATTGTAGGTGATGTGTACTTAGCATTGCCTGGAGCATTACCCAACACTACAGCACCAATTTCCTCATCATAAGAAGCTATCAATTTCACCATTTCAAGGAAATTACCTTGGTTCTTCGAATCAAGACTTTCATCATGTCCTCGGAAGGGGCAAGCTTGGAATGCTAACCACCGTAGTGAATCAACGGTTACTCTAAGCCGCAGCCTATTCCTTTTGATATCCCCATCTGTTTGCTTCACCACTAATGGTTCCATATGACATGGCTTATTCTTCAGATTATCATAACATTTTGCAGCATAATTATGAGCAGATTTACTGTCCTTTCCCATGTGAGTTAAGAATGCACATCTCTCTCCGTCATTAACTCTCTTCCATTTTTTGAATCCTTTCACTGTAAACACATCAGATCCTTTCTTTCCAAGTGGCTTCTTACAAAATAAAAAGCATGGAAAACAGTAGACTGCATCTTTATCCGGCGAATATTCTAACCAAGGGAAGCTCTTAAACCAATGATACTGAAACTTGCGTGGATGGGTCACCGACTCATCGGGAGGATACTCATCCATTTTAAAATGATATGCCCCATGCTTTATATATGCCATTCGAGCTTTTTCTTGATCGTTAGGAGGATAATCTGAAATTTGGCACCGCAGACCTGGTTCTCTTTCGACCACCAAAATAGTAGAATCATCATTGCCTCTCCCTCTCATAACCTGAGGTGGTGTTGTTGATATTGGAGTTTCTTCTACTTGTTCTTGTTCATCTTCTTGCTCTTCTTCATCTACCAAGGGAGGGGCATCAACCAAATTAATCTGTTCTGGAACATCATCAGTTCTTCTTTTCTTCTCAAAAAAAGAATGTAGTGTTGCAAGCTTTCTTTTATTTTTGGCCATGGAGACAACCGATTACCCTAGAAAAATTAAAAACAGACCACTATAAGACTATCCAATTTAGAGAATTGAAAGCCAAACAAAAATTATAGAACAAATTTCAGATCTGAGAGACAGAGAAAGAGGGATCTCAAATCAAGAATATGTACCTCTTCTTGTGTGCTTGCAGCGGCTTGAAGAAAGATGAGTCGTCCAGCCGGCTGGCGGCGCAGCAGCAGCTACAGGAGAGAGCAACTAGAAAGATTTAGGAGATTTGGGGGCTAGTGGTTTGTCTCCATGGATGAGCAGAGCAAAGAGGGTCCAAGGAAAGGGAAAGGTGGGAAGAGGAATCACGTGTGGCTGGGAGACGAGGGTGGCTTTGCCTCTTTGTGTTTGGGATTAGCTTTTGGGAATTGGGATAGAATAACACTAGAGAAAAGTCAAGCCTTGTACAGGATTCATTGTGCCACTTTTGCTGTTGCTCATCGGTTAGGGAGGGCCACAAGGCCCAGAACAGCATAACACACAACTTCTGAAACAAAAGATCGCTAACAACAACAACAACAACAACAAAGCCTTTAAGTCCCAAACAAGTTGGGGTAGGCTAGAGGTGAAACCCATAAGATCTCGCAACCAACTCATGGCTCTGGCACATGGATAGCAAGCTTCCACGCACCCCTGTCCATAGCTAGCTCTTTGTCGATACTCCAATCCTTCAGATCTCTCTTAACGGACTCCTCCCATGTCAAAATCGGTCGACCCCGCCCTCTCTTGACATTCTCCGCACGCTTTAGCCGTCCGCTATGCACTGGAGCTTCTGGAGGCCTGCGCTGAATATGCCCAAACCATCTCAAACGATGTTGGACAAGCTTCTCCTCAATTGGTGCTACCCCAACTCTATCTCGTATATCATCATTCCGGACTCGATCCTTCCTCGTGTGGCCACACATCCATCTTAACATACGCATCTCCGCCACACCTAACTGTTGAACATGTCGCCTTTTAGTCGGCCAACACTCCGCGCCATACAACATTGCGGGTCGAACCGCCGTCCTGTAGAACTTGCCTTTTAGCTTTTGTGGCACTCTCTTGTCACAGAGAATGCCAGAAGCTTGGCGCCACTTCATCCATCCGGCTTTGATTCGATGGTTCACATCTTCATCAATACCCCCATCCTCCTGCAACATTGACCCCAAATACCGAAAGGTGTCCTTCCGAGGTACCACCTGGCCATCAAGGCTAACCTCCTCCTCCTCACAGCTAGTAGTACTGAAACCGCACATCATATACTCGGTTTTAGTTCTACTAAGCCTAAACCCTTTCGATTCCAAGGTTTGTCTCCATAACTCTAACTTCCTATTTACCCCCGTCCGACTATCGTCAACTAGCACCACATCATCCGCAAAGAGCATACACCATGGGATATCTCCTTGTATACCCCTTGTGACCTCATCCATCACCAATGCAAAAAGATAAGGGCTCAAAGCTGACCCCTGATCGCTGCTCTAAAATTTTTTTTTGGCATGTTGGCCCGGGCCTTGGCCCTTGCTGGTCCCCTGCTGTCTCCGCCGTTGCCTCGGACCTCCTGACCTCGCGGCAGCTCGCGCCAGGTGCTGGTCTCCGGCGGCAGGCAACACCGCAGTGCCGCAGGATTCCAGGGTGAAAGTAGCAAGTGCTTCCCTCCTCTTCGGCGTCTTCATCCCTGCCACTCTGCTCGTCCGCAATTACAAGGTGTGCCCCCTCCCGCCGGAAAACTCCCCTAATCTGCGCTGGAAACGGCGGAGATCTGATTGGTTGTCGCCCGCGTGGCTCTGGGTCCCGACTTTGTTATACTTTTCCCTGATTGTTTGCTGGATCTGATTATATAGCGAGTGATGTCTCCCTGTGAAATGACAGTCAACCTTAGCCTGTTAGGCATTCCCCTTTGTTAAATTTCATGGTCGCCAGGTATTGTTTTCCCTCATTTTTGAATTTTATTGTTTTCCCTCGTGGATGCTTAAAAATCTGAACTTGCATTGTGCTTACTCGTTTAATATGCCAAGCCTATGTGGACACAATATGTTTTTGCCTTCTGTAGTTAGCTTCCATGGCAGCTGGTTATGTTAACTACTCCCTCCGTTCCATAATAGATGACCCAACTTTGTATTAACTTTGTACTAAAGTTAGTACAAAATAGTCATCTATTTTGGAACGGAGGGAGTATGTAAGAGGCATCAGCAATCAGCAACTAATTTGTAGTATGCAGAAGCACTCTCAGATAGTGAATTTTGCTTGCTGATGGCTGCATTGTGCTGACTGCTTAGAACTGTGTTTGTCCCCAACTGATTGTCATTTTTCTAACACCAGGGTCAAGCTGCTGTGAGATGGATATTTTGTATCTATGCAAGGATGTCTTAAAGATTCAGAAGTTTAGGCGGCTGGCGTCTTATGCTGGATTCTATTCATTCACTACCCTCGTTACCTATGCTTACACAAGCAATACGTATGTCCCTGCTGAATTGCCCTTCTTTACAGACATGCAGTGTCTTGCCACTTCTTATTCTTACCTGCCAACATTCTTCTCTCCTGCCCAACTTATTGCAGGACAAGGGCTGGCATTTCGAGGGCTGATCAGTATTATGCCGCCTACCCTTCTGGTACCGACCTGCTGACTGATACTGCAAAGGTATGAAAACCGAAAAGAGCATTTGTGGTTAATCATGTCAGATTTTTTGTTAAATCTGAGCAGTAAGCAGCAAATGTAACAAAGTTGTTGTTTTGTTTACTAATTTAATCGAGTCGACTTGCTTAAGGGAAACAGTACCTGATTTCTTTTGTCTGTTTGCAGCTTTACAAGGCTGCGTTGGGTAATTGTTTCGAAATAGACGACTGGGGTCCAATAGAATTCTCCATCATGGCAAAGCATTTTGACCGGCAAGGCAAACCACCATATGCTTACCATGCTGTAAGTTTCTTAATACTCGCAGATACAAATTTGAAAACAGTTCTGCTCCTTGTTCTGGGGTTTTCTCCCTGTGTGCTTTGCAAGTCTTACATCAATTGTTTACCGTGTGTTTTCAGCAATACATGTCACACCTTCTATCCCATGGCCAGCTCGATGGAAGTGGTTAACTGCAGGGATGTGTTCTGTTAGATTCTCTTGAGGCTTCATTGCAGTCCTTCAGTTATTTGTAAGAAAGAGATGGCTCGCTGAAATCTTGAATTGTTCTGGCCTGTGACGATGGATGGCAGAGTCAAAATCGTAGATGCTGAGCTGTTGCAATATCAACTTACTAGTAGTCAAAACTGTGCCGAATTTCCCCATGAATAATTATGGTTGCACCTAGTTGAAGCAAGTACTGGCAATCTCTTATCCCTCCTTTTTGCTATTGCTGAATGCAACTCTTTTGTGTGTCAGTGTTCATAGCAGAATTAGTTTGTGTTCTCTTGGACCTTTTCAGGTTGGGTCAAACAGCAGTGTGAACTGCGCTAGTTATAAAATCAACAAGGACTGTTATTGCAAATGGGTGTTGCGCGGCAACCTTTGTCTTGTAAGGAGGAACCCATAGGCAGGGTTGATGATTGTTCTATGTTCCGCGAGTAGTCCGAACTCTGACGGAGGAGCCTGCGGTTTTTGCTTTGTTTTCCAACGAAGGCTAGATATATCTGTAAAAAAGAGTGTGATTTCTTCTTAACAAAAGGCATAGCACAGAAGTGTTATTTTGCCAAACTTTTGCCTATAAGGCGAGGCAGACGCCGTGTCACAAGGAACGCATATATCTTGCAATTTACTTAGCACAATGAAAGCAACACATTAGACACAAAAAGTCAACGGTAAAAGATAAGGTTAAAAAAGACTTCACAGCAAAAAACATCTATCAAACAGCTTGGTCGTATCACCCCTTTCAAAACCTCCTCAGAACAAAAATAACCCAGAAACACCATCTAAAAATATCATATCTGGTCTTTGGCTTAAAGTATGTCTAGAACATATGCCTCATTGCCACTCTGCTCTTTCTGGGTTATAGTATCAAACCGCTGACTACTCCCTCCGTTCCTAAATATAAGCCTTTTTAGAGATTCCAATATGAACTACTCCCTCCGTTCCGAATTACTTGTCTTGGATATCCGTATCTAGACTCATTTTAGTGCTAGATACCTCCGTATCTAGACAAATCCAAGACAAGTAATTCGGAACGGAGGGAGTACATACTGAGCAAAATGAGTGAATCTACACTCTAAAATACGTCTATATACAGCCGTATGTAGTTCATATTTGAAATATCTAAAAGGGCTTATATTTAGAAATGGAGGGAGTACATAGACTCAACCTGAAAAACTTCTTATTTGATACTGGCAACAGATAAATTGCACTTCTCTGATCCAAACAGATGATAAAACATACATTGCAGAAACATGCTTCCAGAATGACAGACGACAAATGAAAAACATGTTTACATACTTGTTACATACAGTACAAATTAGTGAAGATGCCCTAACAAAGTCCACTCAGTACAAAGCACTCCCTTTATCAAAATGTAAGACGGTTTTTGGTTTAGATCGAGACTCGAAAACGTCTTACATTTTGATACAGATGGAGTACTTGTCAGCAGATACAGATATATTGCAATAACAAAACAAAAAAAACATGTGGAAAGCATATACACACTCAGCTTTAATGTACATGAAATTCATTTATACCCAGCTTATCAGCCAATGTGGCTGGAATAATCAGTACACAAAAAGGGGGCCGAGTTATGTTGTGTGTACAGATCACACTTCAAAAAGGGGTGCTTATGAAAGCAGTACAAAAGTTATTTGTGATGTTCACACACAGTACCAACTTGCAGCAAGTGAGCTCCCTCTACATAGCTTGCTTATAACAAAATTGCCCATAGGGCTATCAGAAAAGAGTAATGATATGACATCTAGGTAATGTGAACAAACTGTCCAGTAATCCCCTTGGAAAAAGAACTCCCGCAAAAAAATAATGACAACACTTGATGTTACAGTAGCAAGGCAGAGCTACCATCCCTCGATTTTCAATGAGCCGGCACAAACTAAGGGCCCCCAAATATTCCATTCTGGCCTTCTGGATAATTTACAGTGCAGTTAAGTCTCCCACTGAAAGAAATTGCTTCATATCATCAGAGGAAATTCAGCTAATTGGTAAACATGAACTGTGTTTTCCTTCTCACCTACTGTCCTCACTAACACAGATAACCTTCAAAATGGATTGCTACCTGCCTCATTTGATTCACATGAATTCTGCAAAAGTACAATTTTAGTAACCCTAGATTCGCTCCACATCCAAAAGGGCCTCTTGTGGTCTCTTGTTACCTGATATGTACAGCTACCGTATAACATCGTCATCATGCGCAGACCTAGCTAAGCAATGAACTTCTTATGTGGCCTGGTCTCTTTGAACAGGTGGTGCTAAGCCATGCTCCTTCATCATGCAATTATATTTTGGTGATGCTCTTGCACCTACTTGCACACAAAGCTCCACAACAGCAGGAGCATGACCATAATAATCTCGCCCACTGTCCACCAGAATTGGTGGGTCATGAGGCCGTTGATGCCACACAATCTTTTGAGGAACCAGGTCATCCACTCCAGCCTTCTTCCACTTGTGTTTTCCCCGCCAGCCCTCAAACTTAAATACTCCACACATCCTGGCCTTATGCCCTGATATCCCAACATGCACTTCAGAGCAATTCTCGCACACTTTGGATGGGTAGACCAATAGGAGTTTTGTCACACCTAATCTGAGCCTTTCCCATGCTTCCAGTGTTCTTTGACCTACCAATCTAAGTTCAGAAGATAGCAAAGGGGCAGGATTTTGGTTGTTAGCTTCAGCTGCCGTACATAGCTCATCACGTCCGTATAGGAGTCCTTCAGGTAGCTCTGCACCTGCCTGATGACATAGCTCGAGTACAGCCGGGACACGAGTGAAGTCGAACCTCTGGTCATGCCTTATCTCATCCTGAAACATGTTTTCCTGATGGAAGGCCTCAACAGGGACAAGGATGTTATTCAAGCCGCCCGGGCCCCATTGGTGAGGTCGATCCTTGATCATACGTTTGAAACCATGACATGTTTTCATCTGATGTGCCATTGCTCCAACATGAATTGCAGGACAAAACCTACAGGATGAGTCAAAACATAAATCACTAATTTAAATGACAGCACATAAAACATCTGAATGAATAATGCAGAAAGGTCCACTCTGATCAACAAATGAGAACAAATGTGAAAATCAAAGAGGACTGCTTGAGTAACTGGAATTCACTCAGACTAAAAGGCAAACTTGGCAACAACAATACTAGTTTAGGAACACTAATCTTCTACGTATGTCTGTTTAATTATCTGTCCATTTATTCAGACTTCTTAGCAATACCTTTGCTGATGATCTGCCAAAATAAGGATCTTTCAGCAACAAACAAGAAGACGAAGTTTATTATTGTATTGTATATTTGTATCCTCCTATGATCAAGTGGAAAACAATTATAATTTCATATTTCTTGCTTACTTGCATGAATGTATATGGAAACAATAACACTAGCCTATGAACACCAATCTTCTAGTACTTATTTTTGTTGAATTGTTTTGCCATTTCTTCAGACTTCTTGCAATACCTAAACTGGATAATGATGCAAAACAAGGAACTTTCAGCAACAAACGAGAAGACCAAGTTTATTGTATTGTATCCTCCTATGATAAGACAAAAACTTAATAATCTCATACTTCTTGCCCTTACTTGCATGAATGTACAGGGACAGCTCTGAGAAGTATTGAGACGCCTTCCGTGAGAATCTCTCTGGCCCTGACCACCTCCTGGGCTACCGGGATCATTCGCTTGATAGGATAATCCTTTGTACGGTTCTTGATCCTCTTTAGAATCATGGGCCGCAGCTGCTTCCAGTCCACCCTTGAGGAGTACATCCTCAGATTCACGATCGAGCCGCACAGCTCTGAGAAAATGCGACTGCCCGCCATCCGCCCCATAAACGCCATTGCAGCGCACAGAGCCCTACAGATTCACAATTGTTTTTCATAAGGACAGGAAACAAGCATTCATGGTATATTGTTAGCAGGAGATGTGACGAACAACAACGGGACATGTATATTTCCTCTAAATTTTGTTGCTTTCTCCACCTGAGTGTTGCGTCGATGCTTCTCCAGAAGATAAGAAGGGGAACGAGGGAAGGGGATGACGGACGATTACCTTGCCCGCAGTCCGCCAGTCTCCTTGAGCTCGCTGGCGGCGCGGCAGCCAATGGAGGGGAGTGGCCGCAGGGGATAGGATGGGGAGCCGCCCGCAATAGAGCGGAGACGCGCAGGGTCTCCTTCCCCTCGGTGGCGGCGCCGCACCCGTCGATCTGACAGGCCCCGCCGCTCGCCTCGGGTCCGGGGAAGCGCCGGGCGCCGTCGAGCAGCCGAGGAAGGCGCCGGCGCTGGGCGGCAAGAGGTGGAGCGAGCTTTGAGGGAGGCGGCGGCGCGCAGCCTGTGAGCGAGACGAGACGCTACGGCCGGCACGGACGGCGGCGCGGCCGGGCGGGCGGGGGAGGACGGAAGAAATGCGACGGCGTGCCCGATCGATCGATTCGCCTCCGGCTGCCAGGCTTTGGACTCAGCCGAACGAATTAGGGATCGGCAGTGGAGTTAACCTGGGCCCAGCCCAATAACGGTAAGGACGTTTCGGTGACATCTAAGCCCAGTGAACTATTTTTTGTGTGGGAAATTCAGAGTAAGCCCAACTCATCCTCAATGAGAAATTAGATCTTAAACCACACTTTACGGAAATCCAGTGATCATTGCGCCATATGACGGGTACACCAAGCCGACGACCATAGAGCTTTTCACGTTCGAGATCTGGGCTCGTATCATTGACCTGCCGATTGCTTACCATGGCAAGGTGAAAGCCTCAGGGCATCTCCAGCCGTTCGGCCTCCCAGAGCGCCTAAATAGAGCAGCTTGGAGGCGTACCGGCGCTAGTTCGGCTTCTGGGGCGACCCAGCTCCCAGTCACGCCTCCAAGCGCCGGCCCCAGGATGCGGGAAATTTAAACTTGGTCGTTCTCGCTCTCAAAAGACGCCACAAATCCGGCGATCGGACGTAGTCTTGCGTTATAAAAAACAGAGCGCCGCACGCCGCAAGTTCACGTGCGCAATGATTCACTCGGCGGGGTCGGCTCCAGGCGTTGACGGACTCGGCGTGCGCGGGCTCGGCGGTGTCGGAGCTGCTTCGGTGTTGGGCTGTGTCGGCACGGCTTCGGCACTGCTGGGCGGCGATGTAGAGGCATCGTTCGGGCTTGGCGTCCGTGTGGTCGTGGGCGCGGGAGCTCGCGTCGTCGGCGTCGTCGGCGTTGCCATTTGCATCTGGTTCAGGATGAGGTCGCGCTCCGCCATGTACCACGCCCTGAGCTGCTCGTCGTTGTCTGGAGCATGTCCGCCCCGCCCATCAGAAAAGCCATGTCGGTGTTCCTCTTCTTTGCGGCGACGTTCGTCCGGAGCAGGTCGAGCTTGATGGCGCTGTTCTTCATCAGCGACGACCACCGCGCCTCGGTCTTCTCTTCACGTAGGACGGCCCGGGCCTGGGCGTCAGCGAGGCAATGCTCGATGGACTCCTGCACTCGCGCGGTTGCCGCGTCGGCGTTTTCCCCTTCTTTGCCAATTTGTGGACGCGCCCGGATTCGTCGCGTCCGGCTTGTATGTCTCCTTGGCCTTGTCGAGGGTACGTCGGACTTTCGCTGTGACGCCCCCGATTCAATCGTACACTAATCATGCACGCAAACGTGTACGATCAAGATGAAGTGAAAGGTTATTGGAACCAAGGGTACGACACAAACTCGAACTCAAGCTTGTTGTTTAAGGTGAAAGGGTATGACGAGGAAAATCGACGTAAGGTTAGTTCATCGTCGAAAATTGGTGCTCCGAGAATAAGGACCATGTAGCACCGTTAGAATCGTCACGACAATGATATAGCCAAACAGGCTAGGAATGGCGTGATCGGGTACAAACTCGTACTTATAGAAGCTTACTGAAGAGTTGTTGAACCATAGAGCGGACTCGGTTCAGTTATCGGTGTCTTTGAGTGTTCAATAACTCCGAGCCCATGAAAAATTGTAATCGGTGAGTATGTAGTACTTGATGAAGAACTCATAAGAAATTATGCAGTTCCAAGATAATCTTGAGATACCAGGGGGTAATACTCGACACAAGATCAAAGTAAAGATTGGACGGGTGTATCTATCCATAGAAGACAATTGTTTTAACTTGTCCGAGAAATGGAATCAAGGAAGAACAATCATGGTCGGAACCACGGTTGCAAGGGATCAATTCACAGATACCATATGTTAGTTATCAAGGAAATAGTTATTATTACAAGAAGCTTCCATGATAGGATATACATCGCGTCCATGGGCATGAACACAAGGTTCGAGGTCGACTCCCACTTCTCCAAAGCATAACCTTACATTCACTTCTCGTTTCGATAATGGCATTAGTGTTGAAAGTTATACCTGGTGAAATACCAGATGAGTATGACCCGTGAAAACTTCCAAGTTCACACATAGTAAGGAAGGCATAGGTTCAACCCATCAGGGCGTCTTACGAACATATACCACAAACTTCGGGGTAAATAATACAAGCTCGAAAGTAGAGCATTGTTCAAAAGCAGATGATACAATTTACCAAGGCATTATATACCCATGGAAAGGCTCTCAAGGTTATTCAATATGAAGGACACTGTCGGATAAAATCCAACAAAGGAACCGATGGTCCTCAAGGGATCTGAGGTGAGCACCGGTACTCAACCAGAGGAAGAAGAATGCACGGGCATCATATTATAGAACATCGGAATGATTCGATGCTTAGATAATAAAGGAATTTCGATTTCCAAAACAAAGGATCAGAAGCAGTCGCTCTGATCAAGGATGGATAAGTTGGATATACCAGAGGCACAATTGACGACAAATAGTTTGGTCGAGAACCAGCTCATGTTCAAAAATGATGTCTGAGCCGGAAGGATAATTTAGAAGGGTTGATAGATGATTGTGTGCATTCGCACACATGCTGAATCAATAGGATCAAAATGACAATGCCTAAGGATACTAACGAATATTGCCAGACATATGGAAAGCATCCATAATGCAAGCAGACAAGTATTGCAGAGCAATAAGCTATTAAGGATTTTTGGAGGATCAAATAGTATTTCGAAGACCATTGTGAAACACATGAACAACTGGGGGATGAGCGGATACTCGATAAGTGCGAGAATTATCCATAGGGGTATTCAGGTGACAAGGAACAGCAAGGCGATAAGCTCAAAGGATTATCGAGACAACGACGAGTGTTTCGAGGTATCTGGTAATAACAAGACCAACTGGGGATGAATGTAAGAATAACAACTACAAGTAGTTATCCATAAGGGTTGACGGTGGAAGGGGAATTGCAAATGCGATGAACATAAGTTCTCGGGTTAACAACGGCGAGTATCTTCAGGGTCTTCACGTGCCGCAGACGATCATCATTAATAAGGGGCTCTCCGGGTGAAAGTGATAACGAGATCCTAATGTTAGATTTAGCAAAAATCATTTAACCCGAATAGAAGAGAAATAAGAGTCCCAGAGTATAGGTCGAGGAATAAAAGATCCTAATACCACCCAATGGCGACGTGGGCCCGTAAGGCACACAGCCATGTTAGTAAAAGTTTTGCAATGTCTAGACTCGACTTCGGCCAAGGAGTTGGAAGGGGGATTTCTACAGGCAGTCGGCTCTGATACCAACTTGTGACGCCCCCGATTCAATCGTACACTAATCATGCACGCAAACGTGTACGATCAAGATCAGGGACTCACGGGAAGATATCACAACACAACTCTAAAACATAAATAAGTCATACAAGCATCATAATACAAGCCAGGGGCCTCGAGGGCTCGAATACAAGTGCTCGATCATAGACGAGTCAGCGGAAGCAACAATATCTGAGTACAGACATAAGTTAAACAAGTTGCCTTAAGGAGGCTAGCACAAACTGGGATACAGATCGAAAGAGGCGCCGGCCTCCTGCCTGGGATCCTCCTAAACTACTCCAGGTCGTCGTCAGCGGGCTGCACATAGTAGTAGGCACCTCCAGTGTAGTAGGGGTCGTCGTCGACGGTGGCGTCTGGCTCCTGGACTCCAGCATCTGGTTGCGACAACCAGAAAGGAAGGAAAAGGGGAAAAAAGGGGGGAGAAAGCAACCGTGAGTACTCATCCAAAGTACTCGCAAGCAAGGAACTACACTACATATGCATGGGTATATGTGTAAAGGGCCATATCAGTGGACTGAACTGCAGAATGCCAGAATAAGAGGGGGATAGCTAATCCTGTCGAAGACTACGCTTCTCGCAGCCTCCGTCTTGCAGCATGTAGAAGAGAGTAGATTGAAGTCCTCCAAGTAGCATTTCCAAGTAGTATTTCCAAGTAGCATCTCATAGCATAATCCTACCCGGCGATCCCCTCCTCATATCCCTGAGGTAGAGCGACCACCGGTTGTATCTGGCACTTGGAAGGGTGTGTTTTATTAAGTATCCGGTTCTAGTTGTCATAAGGTCAAGGTACAACTCCAAGTCGTCCTGTTACCGAAGATCACGGCTATTCGAATAGATTAACTTCCCTGCAGGGGTGCACCACATAACCCAACACGCTTGATCCCATTTGGCCGGACACACTTTCCTGGGTCATGCCCGGCCGCGGAAGATCAACACGTCGCAGCCCCACCTAGGCAAAACAGAGAGGCCAGCACGCCGGTCTAAACCTAAGCGCGCAGGGGTCTGGGCCCATCGCCCTGAGCACACCTGCACGTTGCGTGGGCGGCCGAAAGCAGACCTAGCCTAGTGGCGTTCCAGTCCAATTCGGCGCGCGCCGCTCCGTCGCTGACGTCTGAAGTGCTTCGGCTGATACCACGACGTCGGGATACCCATAACTACTCCCACGTAGATGGTTAGTGCGTATAGGCTCGTAGCCAGACTCA